ATGCAATCCACACAGGCCCCCCAGAAAATAAAGATGAGCCACCCACAGACACACACCAATCCTGCTGGATTTGAGTTGCCAGGAAACAGAGATTTGGTGTCCTCTTGCACCCTTGTGAGACAAAAGCTATCCTGAAAGACATTGATCCTGATGTACCTACAGGGACCCCAGGAGGAGAGTGGCTTTCAGACTCTGGTCTGAGTTCTAAGGGACAGCATGCATTTGCCTGTGCCAGGCACAGCTCTACACATTTCACATATTAATCTTCACAACCAGGTTATGGTGCTATCTTGCCTCAATTTCACAGTGATACATTAGTACGTCTGACGTCCCAAGTTTCTTCCCAGTCTAGCTCCAGCCCCTGGGCAAGACAACTCTCCTCTCACAGCCCCCAAACCATTGCTTTTCTGGCCTCTTCCCTTCTCCCCGCCTCCACCAAAAGCCTGGCTCTTGCTACATAAAGTACATAACATTGTTCTTTGCATAAGGTCAAATGCCAGATATATTCTCTTAATATTCCAACGCAAGCCAAGTCTTTGTGGACTTCAGGATTTGCAGAGAACTGGGTGTTTTCCATGCACGATAGGTTCTCTCTGCTGGCAGAGGCTATTCAACAGGCACATACAATTTACCTACCGAGCAACAGCTATTGACAGAACAAGTTTACCGTTGCCATATTGTAAATGATGGCTTATGGAGTAGCTGGCATTGCCAGTGCTAGGTCTGTGAATAATCCAGAAGAGAACTTCATGTCACAGACCAGCTCAGGTTTCAGTATGCTTCACTAGCTTGATGAAAAGATAACGAAGATAATGGATTTGGGAGCAGAAGTATGTATTAGATGGTGCATAAGACTTTTATTTAAATAATGAGAGAAAGATCTTAAAAATAAAACTCTATTCTGGAATACTTTTCAACTCTTGAAAAGGAAAGAAAGCAAAGCGTTAGAAAAATGAAGTAGGGATTAAATGCAGCGGGTGGGAGAAAGCAAAGAGTCCAGGAAAGAATGGAAGGGAACTGACGGATTTGTGAGAGAAACTGAGAGCAGGAGCAAGCATAGATGTGCATTTGCAAATCCTGTGACGGGCAAGCGTGCTTTGCTAAATAGACTGCTCTTCAACCCAATAGAGTGGGAAACCTCTTGGCAGTTGACGTATGTCATCTTTCTGTTTGGATCCTAGAAAGAGCTTGTGGGTAGATAGAGCAGACTGTGGAGAGAGCTGAAGGTGGATCCACTCAGACTATGGAGAACATTCTAGATCACTGCTTTCAAACAGCAGTGCATAGGCCCCTGCATCTGAACCACCAGGGGAGCTTGTGCCAAACACCGGGACCTACTCCAGATTCATGGCATCAGACTCTCTGGGTCAGGACTGGGAACATGCATGTGACCCAGTTCACCACAGGATTTTCATGCCTCAGAGTCTGAGAACCACTGATACAGGTGCATCACTGTCTCTCTTTTGTTATTGCTCAGAGCAGGACTCTATTAATTCTTTATTAAAATAAGAAAAAAGAAGGGCCAGTGTTGTGGCTCTATGGTAGAGCTCTTGCCTAGCATGCTTGAGGCACTGGGTTCGATCCCTGACACCACATAAAAATAAATAAGCAAATAAAATAAAGGTATATGTCCATCTACAACTAAAAAAAAATTAAGAAGAAAAAGGTATGACACTAACGGGGAAATTCTCAAGTTTCATTTTGGAAGTACTAGATCATTTAAGGAGTCAGTCCGGGATGACTAGTGGAATATTTCAGGCATCAGCACACAGTCATTACGTACCTATGATTTCCTAGCCCAGGAAAGGCTACACAGTCAGATCAACAGCCTCTTCAAAGCTCAGCACACTCCTCAAAGTCAGATTGTCAGCCTTGAGTTGCCATCAAGTCCAGCTTTTGACCTACTGACTGGTCCCCTCTTTCATATTTTTAAATTGTTTCCTTAGCTTCCAAGACTTCACTCTCTGAAATTCCCCCTCCTACTTCTCAGGCCAAATTGTCCCCATATCCTTTCTTGGGTCTTTCTTCTCCACCCTCTCTGTAAACACTGCTCTCCAGGGCCCAGCTTGGCCTTCAGCTCCCCCTGCCCTCGGCCCTATGGCAGGTGCTCTGGTCCATGCCCACGGCCTCTCCCTCTCCCCATTCTCTCATTACCCGCTAGTCTACAACCTCATCCAAAACTGTCTCCCGAGCTCCACGCCTGCCAACTACCCGTTGGACATCACCATCATACACACCAGGGGCTCCTCACCTAACAAATCCCCAGTCATATCCATAATGCCTTGACTCTTAAATGTGACCTTCCCCTGAAGTCCTTCTCCTTGATAATGCCACCTGGCCACCCATGTCACCATGCTGGGACTCAGCCCTCTCCTTTGCCCACAGTACTGGGCTGGTCACAAGTGCAGGCAAGTTCACCTTCTAAATCCACCACCCTCTCCGTCCCTATTGTCACTAACATCTGAACTTTGGCAAAGTTTCCTTTTTTCTTCACATTGAGGCTCCAACTGAGCTGCTCAGCCCTTCTTGCTATAAGAGTTCTCTCCTGCTCTTCAGGGGCTCCTCATCATTGGAAGTTAAATCCAGCTATTGGCATGGACTATGAAGCCACCATCACCTGGCTCTTCTCCTTCATTCAAAATCAGCACCCCATCATTCAGAGTATGACCACAGGTCCTTTGCACATGTGCATACTCCAGCCCAAAAACATCTCTTTGGGCCTGGAAATCACCTCTTGTAAGACCTTTCACTATTTGCAAACATTTTCTTATGTTTATCTTTCCCATCAGTCACAGACAGGGTCTACATCTGGACATATTCCAAATCCAGTACCCAGCTCCAGGTGTGAATGCTTGCCAAGTGACTGCACAAGCATATGGTAGAGCAGCAGAGGAAGAGACTGAAGGGAGAATCTCAGGCCGTCATGAAGGTCCAGGCAAAAGGTGAATCAGGTTTGGGTTGGGATGAGGACAGTGAAGATGACAGCAGTAATAAGACCCACACTCACAGTGCCCAGTGCTCAGCCCTGGTCCAGAGCTGATGTGGACTTTTTCTTTTTTGTTGGTTTTCTGGGTGGATTTCTGAATCCTGCTTGGCTACTGCCACCATGCAGTCCATGGCACTGGCGACCCCAGAGAAGGTATGACCCCATGGAATTCAGAGAGTGATGAGTCAAATCCACAGTTTTATTGAGATGTCATTCACATAAAAACCCCCATCCTAAGTCACTGATTCAATGATTTTGTGCGAAGTTCTAGTTTTAGAACACGTCCATTGCTCACTGGTAGGATTTAAGAGAAACTATAATATGTCCAGCATCTTCTATGCCCAGCCACCTCCAGAATTAAGTCCAACCTTGACCCCTGGTTCCCTCCCACAGCCCCTCCACCTCCTGGAGGCACAAGGTTGACAGGTCTCGGTCAGCCCAGGGCTTCTCTCTGGGCAACCTCCCAAGTGGTCCTACTAATCCTCCTGGGAGCTGTGGGATGAGGGGGCCATTACATGACCATCTCTGAGACCTAAGATAAACCAAACTCCTCTGCCCACAAAGTACCCCAAAACTTCACTGGCATAAAAACAAGACCTGGATTCTATTTGTAACCAGGCCTCTTTTTGAAATTGCAGATTAAGTGTTATGCTGCAGAGGGATTCTGGAAGGACCATGGGAGGGGAGGGAGGTGGACACAGAGAAGAAACAGAACAAACAGAAGGAGCTCCTGCTTTGGGGAGACTGTTCAGCTTGTTCTTATTTTGACATGGGGACAATTTCTTGCCTGTTAAGAGACAAGGTCATGCCTCAGATGGCTGCACGGACTGCCACTGATGGTCTGTCATGTCATCACTCGGCACTCACTGCCCAGCTCAGGAACCTTTGGAACGTGTCCTTACCACGCAACCCCACACCCATCCAGAAGCCCGGCAGCCCCCCACACACTGAATGCCCTAACCCATATGGGTCTGCAACTAGCTGCAAAAGCATGCATCAAATTTACTTTCCAAAGGGGCCAAGGGATATGTCAAAGGTTCTAAGACAAAAGAACCATCCCCCGGATAGCATCAGCAGACAGTAACGATGGAAAGGAGACTCTATAACCCTCCTGATTCTTCTGAAAGCAATCGCATCCGACAGTCCAGTCTCAGTCACTTGAGGAAGGTGCTGGCAACAGGGGAAAGATGGTGGCTTTGGTGACCAAACACTGCTTTGGGGGACTCATATGAAAAGTTATGCTGTCTTTGCAAGGGGAGAGAGACAATACTGTTCTACATGCCCATCACAGAGGCATCCCAAAGTGGCCCAGTTTCACCAACCACATTCCAGAGCGCTTTTCCTCACATGCCCAGACGGAGAAAAGGCCTTTGTAATGACTTCGTGCTCAGCCAAAAGTAAACACACTCTCCACTTTTTCCATGGACAAATCCTAACCCCAAATTGCCAGCACTGGCCTCTCCACAATCCAAATGGAAAGCCTCCTTTCCCAAGAAAATAAAACCTTTTTAACTCAATAATACATCTTGGCTGCAAAAGCAAACTTTCCTGATTTTTTTTCCTAGAAATTATTTATCATGCAATCACGCAGCCAGGCTGCAGATCGCCTGAGCAAATCCTACCAATAGGACAAAGGCACTCAAAATACATAGGACAAATGATCCAGGAATAAATGCTCACTCCAGCACACCTGCACTTGCAACTTAGGCAGCACATTTTATAACTCACACAGGATCCGCCACACACATACACACACACGCACACACACACACACACACACACACACACACACAGAGTTCGCTGCCTCCTAATTGGAATATTCTTTCTGAAAACAGGCTGTGATAAGACAGGTGCTGATTTGAATAAAGAGCAAAATGGCATTCCAGATCTGAGCTCGGCAGCGCTTTGGTACATGTCAAACGCACATCTCACTCCTCTCGCACATTCCAACTCGAATCCATGTGATCCAACTTCAGTTCTCCACAGAGTAGTAAGAAACGACTTGAGGACTTACCAGGTTGGAATTGGTGGCATTGGAATCATCTTCTGGAAAGGGAATATAGATTGCTAAGGCCACACAATTGGCAAAAATAGTCAGTAAAATAATTATTTCAAATGGTCTGAGGAAGGGAGTTAAGGAAGTTAACGCTGCAGCGAGCCCAAGTGAAACAAATATACATCTCTCTATTTTTTTTTAAATGAATCAAAGATTGGTAAGAATTTTGTTTAAACAATGCATTCCAAGCCCCTTGTATTCTGAAAAGAAACATATGCCTTTTTAAGTGCTTCTAGTGGGGCCCCGCCAAAATTTTTCCTAATATGTCAAAAGCAGTGGAGGCCAGTCGCGTGCCAGAGTAAACACAGATTTCTAAAAACTTTTTTCCCCTTCTTTTATTTATTTAGATTGCATTTGACTTCATTTTCCCTCATGTGGACTTGGAGTGGCTTTTACAGGCTGTACCTGCCCCAGGCAGGGCTCCCTGGATCCCCGTTTCCACGTGGCTTCTGCGCTGCCACCAGGAGACCCAATCGCACCTGGGAACGACAGCAGTGGAGTGGGATTTTAAGACAAAGTGACATTTCATGGTTTTCATTAAAATCTGGAGAATTTATTTTTTAATCTTTGAAAGTGAAAAGTGGTTTCCTTCCTCCCCCCTCCCCCTCCCCCTCCTTCTCCTTCTTCTCTTTCATTTTCTGACAGATTCCAGAGAACCTAAAGCCCGTCTGGGGTGAGGGGCTCAGGACCCCCCAGAGTGTGGCAGGATGTGTGCTGCGTGTTTAAAGAAGGGCAGCCATCTCCCCTTTAGGGACACCCCTGGTTCTGCAGAGGTCCTGCCTCCGGTAAGCAAGGCTCCAGTTGCTGGTCCTCCCAACTTCTCCATCGATGGTGCTGGTCTCTAGAGGGACAACCCAGAGTTCACTCACCAGTAACAGAACACACTGAGGTTCCCAGTCCCTGACTTCTTCATCAAAACACAGGACCCTCTAGAGACAAATGAGCTAATGGGATAATACCCTTCCAATGAGCCCACCCCACCACACCCAACCCAAGGCCAGAAAAGGAAGCTCCACAGGAAGGGCCCAACTTGTGCTCTTCTATCTCCACTCCTACCAGCCCGGTCCCTTCTGCCAACTTTCAGCCTCATTCAGAGTCTAACAGGAGAAAGAGAAGGGGATGGAAATCGTTGGGTGAAAGAACCAGTTTAATTCTCCCAGGGAAATCTCTACTCACAAAGGTAACAAATTTTGAAGTAGGAAAAGACCTTAGAAATGATCTGGTCCAAACCTTGAGGCCCAGAGAGCCCAAGAAACTTTCCCAAGGTTCCCTAACAGATTAATGACCAGGCAGGACTAGAACCCATATTTCCTGCCCACCAGTGCAGTACTCACCCCCGTCACACACAGCCTTCTGACTGTGTACCCAGGCAGCACTGGACCAGGGTCACAGAATGCTGGAAGTGGGAGGAATCTCAGTGATTATCTGGTGGCAGAACCCCTCAGCCCCAAAGGAGAGCTCAGGGTCCATTTAGCCAGCACGCCTCCTTCAAGGTGCCTATTTTTTTTTTTGCATGTGTGCCTTGATATTAAAAGGTGGCATGCAGTAGACCTGTCCAACTTCCCCACTTTACAGATGTGGACAGTAAAACAACTGTTCGAGATTCCAACCTGGCAATGAACAGAGCCAGGGCCAGAACCCAGACCCACTCACTAATCTCTTACCTCATGCTGCCCTTGAGTTGACCAAGGACTCAGTGGTGATATTGGGGGTGCAGATGCCAGGGTGGGTATAGTGACAGTGAGAACAGGAGCTAACATTTATCGAGAGCCTACTCCATGCTAGGCACTGGTCTAACTGCACCACACAAACACCCAGCATAGAAAGTACAGCTATCACTCCCATTGTTAAGGGAGGAAACGGAGGCACAGAAAGGTACATGTTAACTTGTCCAAAGTCACAGAGCTGGTGGTAGAATGGGATCTAGTCTGGCTCTAGACTCTGAATTTGTGAGGGCTCCTCTACACTGATCTCGCCTGTGTTACCCTAGAGCATTTTCATGACGTCAGTTCCTCCAGCTCTCCTACTGCAGCACCTCTTCCTGCCCAAACCCTTTCCCACCTGCTTAGGAGAGTGACACTCGCCCTAGGGGCTGGTCAGTTTCATTCTCATCATCTGCTACCCTGTGCTCTTCCCTCCAGGACATGAGCTCAAGAAGTCAGCTGAGCCAGACTTCCTATGCCTCCATTCATCTAATGTAACTGGCTGCCTCCACCCCCGTGGGGATACCTGAGCTTGGGATGTTTCGAGTGCTACCAGTTCTACCTCCTGCCCCTGCTCAGGCTATCCATCCATCGTGTTATGCTAAGAGCATTGGCTAATGTCAGAAATGAGGCTGTGCAAAGAAACCAATCAGGAAGATAAGAAGAGCCATCAGCCGAAAAGCAGAGGAGAACCCAGGTAAGCCCTGGATACACTGCATGTCACCCTGGGAGGACCAGGTCATTTTTTAAACTGCATTCTTAATGACAGTATCAGATTTCACCTTTTCCTAGCTCCTTATCTGTCCAGCTATCCTTCCTCGGCAGTCTAGGAACGCCACCCATGAAGCAGAAAGGCCCACATCGCCTCCTCCAGGTGGGAAGCACATTCCCCAGGGAGGGTGACTGCCACACAGTGAATGTTCAGGCTGCTGTCCGAGGTCCCGCTATGTCCCAACAGAGCTGGACTGCACCCCCTGAACATCCACCCAGGTACTCATCTAGTCCCCACCTGTGCCTGACCTGCAGGGGCCCTCATTTCTTCCACTCCATGGTTCTGCCTCAAGCAGCTTTGGAAGCAGCCTATGGCTGACCACACCCACCTCCCATTCACTCATCATACTACATCGCTCAGGTCTGACCTGGCAATTCTGCAGCAGCCCCTTCATTTAAATTCTCTTGAAGTTACTTTTTACTTGAGAGGCTTAAGCATGCATAGAATTAATACTGCTTACTCTAAAGAACTTTCTTTTATCCCCAGATCACCTTCTTCTAACTTCTGACCATTACCCAAGATTTTTAAATCTTTCCCTAAAAACTTACTAATGAAACCTAACACCCCTATCCTGGGCATTGAGAAATATGGTAGTCCTATCCAAACAAATTCTTACTGCAAAAATGCCAAATATTAAGACCCAGCATACCACCAGGGGGGAAAAAAAAGACCCAGGGTTCAAATCCCATCTGATACTAAGCATATGACCCTGGAGAATCTTTCACATGGGATTCATTTCATCACTAGGGAAAATCAGGGGTAGACCTATAAATCTTTAAGATTTTTTTCTAATCTCCATGACTCTATGACACTTCGATATTAGGGGCCTTGCAATTCTATGGTGACATGCCTTGGAGCTATGTTCTCTGAAGAACCCATTCATTGGTTTCTATGTGTACAGAAGGGCTCTGTGTTTTAAACTCCAGACCAGTGTTCCCAACTGTAACTACTTTAGAATCACCTGGAGAATTTTTTTTAAGAATGCCTGGGTAAAGCTCAGGCATCTAAAGTTTGCTAAAACTTTCTACAGAATTCTAACATGCTATCAAGGCTGAGAGCCACTGCTCCCAGGCCCTGGAGCCAAGAAACCGGGCTGTTGATGGCTACATTCTTATATCTCCTGGGCTGCTTCATCCTTGAGAGAGGTGAGGTCATGAAACTATCCTAGTACAGTAACAAAGGAGGGAACAAAGGTTGTGAAGTAGCCCATGATGACTATTAACACAATCACCTGAGTGGATCCCCAGGCAAGCTGAGCCATGTAAGTGCTTCAGATATGGGATTTTTTGGATTTGGGAATATTTGCATTCACATAATGAGAAAGTATGGGAAGGGGATCCAAGTCTAAACACAAAATTCATCTATGATTCACATGTATCTCATACACATAGTGTGAAGGTAATTTTATACAGTGTTTTTACTGAGCCTGTATTTGAACTACTATTCATCATATGAAGAAGATGTGGAAGCTTCTACTTGGAGCAATTCAGATTTCAGATTTTGGATTAGGGACGTTAGAGCCATATGTGGGGGGAAAAATTAAAACCTAGGCATCGTGAGCCCTGTCCCCAGGATCCTGATTCATTGAGTCTAGGACAGGGCCTCTAACTGTGTTTTCACAGGCCTCACTGATGCAGACCCACAAACCAGCTGTAGGCACAGCACCATCTACAGAGGCTGCTGCCTGGTAAGCCCCAGAGGGCTGGCCTCTAGGACACAAGTCCCACAAGCACCCTTCCCGGGCCAAAGCACAAAGGATATTTCCATTCGACGATGCTTATACATGCTCTCCGGATGGGGTTCTTCAGGGTCAGACAGAGCAGGGCACGGGGTGGCCGCGTGGCAGTTGTGCCACCCTGTTTTTTGGGTTTCCCATACTGCTGCCGTTTCCGCTGCGTGGAGCTGACTGTGGAGATGGTCGCATTGCCAGCACTGCCCATCAGCTTGGCCTGCCGGGCTGCATCAATGGCTGCTTGCCAAGACAGGGCTGCCCCTGGGGTAGGGATGTGCTCAGGGGCAAGCCCCGCAGCTGCGTTGGCATTCATGTTGGCTGAGCGCGGGCTCCCATAGTTGGAACCTGCAGCAAAAGAGGAAAGAGGACAACAGTCACTAGAGGGAAAATAGGTGCACCTGGGACACAGATTCACATTTTTTAAAAAATTTCATTTCAAGCTATTGCATAAAATTGGGAGGTGACACATGAAAACACTAGTGTGATGTGCTAAGAAACCACCAGGAAATTGGTTCTAGGCTAAGTTTGGTCTAGTTCAGTTGGGTGACCTTGGACAGGTGGCTCCCTTCCCTGATCTCACCGCCTCATTTGAGGCAGACAAGAGACGTGCCTACCTCAGAATTCGTGAACCTCAGCAGCACTGTACTAGTTAGGAAAGGAGGGTGCATTGGAAGATAGAACACAATGCAATGCATAAATTCCAACACATTTGTAAGAACAACTCACAAACAAAAGGATATTCTTCAAACAGAACAGAATGGTTGTTTAAGGGGGGTGAGGAAGAAAATCAGAGTAAGATGTGGGGATAAGAAGGAATAAAGAATGAATGCATGAGTGAGTGAGCATCATATAAATTCATAACAAATATGCATTGAAGAATGTAATTCACTTAGCTCTCTGCACCTGAGTTCCAGAACCAAAACTAAATACAATAAAACGAGGGGACTGAACTCAAGTTAAGTTCACATCCAGTGCTACAGCTTAGATCTTAAATGTCCCCCAAAGACCTCTGTGTTAAAGGCTTGGCCTTCAGGGAGATGTTACTGGGGGTTGTGGATCCTTTGAGGTAGGGCCTAACAGGAGGTCTTTGGGTCACTGGGGGCATGCCCTTGAAGGGGACTCTGGGACCCTAGTCTCTTCCTCTTCCCTTTTGATTCCTCGGTGGGATGAGTAGTTTTGCTCTGCCACATGTTCCTGCCCTGATGTGCTGCCTCACCATAGGCCCAAAGCAACAGGACCAATTTATTGTTAACTGAAGCCTCCAAACCCATGAGCCCAAACAAATCTCTTCTCTCCATAAGATGATTATATCAGGTATCTGTCACAGAGATGGAAATTGCAAATCCAGGCCCCCAAAGCATCTGACTTAAGTTTGGCACAGGTGGGAGAGGGAGGGGAGCTTGATGGTTTAAATTATAGGCAAATCCCTTGACATCTGACATCTCTCACAGAGAAAGAAGGTCTAGGACCTCTCCTCTTGAAATGAGTTGCCCTTTTCTGACTTTTTCCACTAATAAAGTACAGCAGAAGAGACACTATGGGATTTCCAAGCTCAAAACGGCCAAGTTGCCTAGACCTGAGTTTCTCAGGATGGATAGCTGAAGGAAAGCAAAAGCCACCATACTGTGAGGAAGCCTACTAGCTGCATGGAGAGACCATGTGGAAAGAGAGAGTCCAGATAAGCCTACAGCTGCTGTAGTCACCAACTGCACTTCAAGAGGGACCCCAAGCCAGAACAGTGCCAAATGAGGAACTTCCAGAATTTCTGACCCATAACAACTGAGAGATAACAAGATGCTTGCTATTGTAAGCCACTTTGCTTTGGGGTGATTTATTATATAGCATTTGACATCTGAGGAGGGGAGCTATGTGGCATGGTCAACAGGATGGAGTAGAGAGTACTGTCCAGGAGAAACTCTTGATAGGAGCCAGCAAAATCCAGAGGGCCCTACCTAAGAAGAGATGGCTACACTGCTCTGGTTTAAAGGTACCAAAGCCTTCAAGAAAGTCCCTAAGACACCACATACGCATGACACTCTCTAGTCTGTTAGGAAAGATGCCTTACCCTAGAATCTGTAAGGTTTGCCAAATAATCAGCTCACCCTGGACCCAAACGTGTGCCTCCCAGAACAGATGTTCGACCTTGATATTTGTAATGCTGGTGAGCTGACCTAGTGCAGTGAGATCAACAAAAGCCTCAGAGAATGGAATGCTACCATGAAAGGTGAATCTGGCATGTGGATACCACTTCAATTGCTTGGAGACAGTGGCGGAACAGCCAGACCAATTTCACATACATCAATTGAGTCCTCCCACAGTGACCTTCTCTGATCAGTGTACACAGGTCCTCCCAAGGCAGCTGCTGGGCACAGAATGAACTACATTGTTGAACCCCTTCCCTCTCCTCACCTGGGGCTCCTCAGTATACAGGTGGAAACGTAGTGCCTCTCCCAATCATCTCCCCAGCTCTTGGCTTGTGCTGGTCCTTCTATATTTGGACTCCAAGATAACTTTGCTCCCAGGGTGACCTGCTTCCTAGAACCTACCATCACCACGACTACTCTTGACTCCCACAGGAGCCTGTTAAGGGCACTTGGCCCAGCTTGGCCAGTGTTTTGGTTAAACTTCTAGATTGAGAAGGGCCTAGAAATTAACAAAGCACACTTCTAGGTGAGTCTGTGAAGGTGTTTCCAGAGACACTTGGCATAAAGGTCAGCCAACTGAGGGGGAAGACCTGCCCTGAATGGCAGCACCATCCAATAGGCCCAGATGGAACAAAAAACAGACAAGAAGGGGCAAGTGCATGCACATGCACACTCAGCTTTTCTTGAGCAGTAGGTTTACTGCTGCTGCCATTAACATAGACATCAAACTCCAAGTTCTTCACCCTCTCACTGTGAACTTGCACCAGCAAATCTCCAGGGGCATTCCAAACCTTCAGCCTGGGACTGGGGCCTTCCTTATCTGGTCCCCCTTGTTCTGCACGTCCACCTTTTAGACTGAGCAACTACTGGTTTCTCCATTTCTCCAATCTGCACATGGCCAGACTGATTATGTAAGCCACACTAAAAAAAAAAATCCCCTCTAATAATTGCATGTACATTCTATTTGTTCTGTTCCTCTGGAGAGCCCTAATACAACAGACAGAATATTTTCACCCTACAGAGTCCATCCCAGAGAGAGAACTCAGGATCATGGGATTCTTGCATCCAGCCATGCCAGAAGTTAGCCCTACTTTGAGGGACAGGAGGTGAAACAGGTGTGACTCTGGAAGCTGGCTTCCACCAAAGCTACACCTCAAGGTCGGCATAGCCACTCTTACTTTAAGTCATTTCCCCACACTCACTGTGATAATTAAGTTATTTAGGAACTCATCTATGTTGGGTTTCTGCCTCATGCAACCAAGAAAGACCTAATATGCTTACTCAGTGCCCAAAACGTGTACCCAACTGAGCTGTCATTTCTGAGAGATTCCATAGTCTATGTCCTCTCCATCATAAGAGGGAGAGACAATGAGCTTCAACACTTACGCCAATTGACTGACATCATTGTCCAAATGCTGTACTTACAGGATTCTGAGACTTTCCTGAGCAAGACAAGAAATCACATCATGATAGATCAGTGATGCCTATCATGGCACAAGGGGTAGGGAATGGTAAATACACAGGTGCCACGTACTTACCACCCCAGCTTGACCCCAAGATGAGCACATCAGGTCTCCTGGGTACCAGCTCATCAGCTATACTACTGTCGTCCATTCTGTTGCATTAGAGCCCCCACCCCGCTCTCCAGGGCCTAGAAAACTGCCTCCTTACTGAACCGAAGTCATGGCCGCATTCTCAATGTGACACGGATTCCCACCTCACCACTGATTCCCTTTGCCCTCCTCCTTTTCTCTGCCCCACTGGCTCCAAGCAGCTGCTGCATCCTAGGGGTAAAGTATATTAACCAGAATATCAGGCTCATGGAGAGCGCAGCACTTCTGTGTGCTGAGAAGTCTCCTTGGCCACATAGCTTGTCCCAGTCTTCCCCGTGCTCACTGTATGGATCCCTAGCCTAATGTGAGGAAGGCCTCAAGAAAGCTTACCTTTCTTATAAGACCCCAGAGGGAAAAAATTCAAAGAGTCGATTTGAATTAATAAAGGCACCTGAAGCACAAGAACCGCTTTAATAAGCAGCAAGATGAGTATCTCCACTTAACACATAAGAAAACAAAGGAGCATATGACTCACTAAAGGTCACAAAATGAGACAATGGAAGATTTCTGCAGCACACAGGACTCAGTGAGCTGCCAGACTATACTCCCGCCTCCTCAGATCTCTCTGTCACACAGACACACACACACACTCCACATGCATACACACGTGTGTGCTCACATGCACGGTGACAAACAGAGCACACACCTCTTCTGGGTTTTGTGGGCTTTGGGATGGAACAGGCTGCATTCCTAAAAACATCCTTAAACTTAAAAGGATCTTCATAGGACAGTGTCCACTACACCATCAGCCTCCTTGGGAACCCTCTGGGGTGATTATAGGCACCTCCAGGGTGAATGACAATAGAAAGTGTCCTGCTTATGCATCAGAGTGACCAAGTCCAAAGTAGCCCAATCTTCCATCTTCTGTGGTTCCCCAGAGAGGGCTGGAACTCTAGTTTTGCTCCATTCAATCTGTGATAAATCATTTTTCCTTCCTGGACTCTCTTTGGCAATGACAAAATTTAATAGAGTCTATTTTGGTTCCTGGACTAACTCTTCTTCCCTCACACAGATAAAAGCAGCCCTGTCCCCTGCTTTCAGCCTTCCAGACCCCACTTCTCTACATATGACAAGACCTCACACTTCCCCTGAGGTGAGTGTCCTCCAACCCTCACCTTGGCCCTTCCCTGGCTTGTCTTTATCTCCCTCTCATCTCAGCTGCCAGTTCCAAACACCAAGCAATCCCAGGAGCGTCAGGACAACACTTGAGAAAAGGGCCGGAGGCAACAGGCCTGAGAACACATCTATTGCCCTGTTAAGGCTGTATGTGGGTGCATCCTTCACCCTGATCCCTTACCATGAGACAGAGGCGTCCATGAGCAAGATGGTGGCTGCCTCCACAGAGCCAGGAGGCAGTTCTGAACACCAGGTCTTGGTAAGCTGACTTCTGAGCACCCCCAGCCTGCACTCCATGGGGAACCTTATTTATATTGTGAACTGTTCCCAGAACACAAGGATCTCTCTGGAGCATACCATCTGGAGAAAGCACATATGAATAGGCCCATGGGGAAAAGTGGAATGTCAACTTCTCCCTAGCCAGAGGACAAAAAAACAACCAGTATTTTGGTCCAGGCAGTCCAGAGCACAG